TAAATTTCTACATGTATGTGGATGACACCCAACTCTATCTCTCTGCCTCCACCCTGAACTCCAGGACCTCTGAGGTCCTGACCGACTGCCTGTCCGACATCAAGTTCTTGATGAGGGCCAACTTTCTCCAACTCAACGTCACCAAGACCTAATTGGTTCACACCAGCGCCTCCGCACCTCAGGCGCTGACAGCATCAGCCTCCATGGCTACACACTCAACCGCACTAAGCCAGTCAGGAACCTGGGTGTCTTGTTTGACCCTGAACTGTCCTTTCTCCCCCACATCTGCGCCATGACCGGCACTGTCTACCACCACCAACATTGCCAGACTCTGCCACCGCTTCACTACTCAGTCTGCTGAAACCCTCATCCACGCATTCATCACCTCAAGGCTTGATTACAGGAACTCCCTTCTCATCGGACTTTCGAACGCTTCCCTTCACAAGCTGCAGATCATCCAAAACTCTGCAGCTCGTGTGCTCTCACGTACCAGGCTCCGACCCCATCACTCCCACCCTCGCCCAACTTCACTAGCTCCCCATCCCCCAGAGGATCGAGTTCAAAATCCTCGTCCTCACCTTTAAGGCCATCCATGGCCTTGTCCCCTCCTACCTCTCTGACCTGCTGACTCCCTACCAACCTGCCCGCTCCCTCCGTTCATCAGACGCCGGCCTACTCCATGTCTACTGACCCGCCCTACCATCGGTGGCCGGGCTTTCAGCCTCTCTGCCCCCACACTCTGGAACTCCATCCCACGGTCCCTTCGCCTCGCTTCCTCCCTCGCATCCTTCAAGGCCGGTCTCAAGACCCCTTCTCTTCGATCGTGCCTTCAGTCTCCCTCCCACCTCTCTGCCTTCCCTCATCCCTACACCATCCCTCCCCCATGCTCGGTCCCCGACAGCTGACTGTTCAGCACTTTGGGACGTCCTCCCGATGTGAAAGGCGCTCTATAAATGTAATTTTGTTGTCGTTTTCTTGCATGTCAGCCAATGCATACTTGTGATAAACACGCAGACTAATGTTTGTAAGCGGTAGCTTTAGATCACTGTGTGTCAGCGCTTATGTTATTAATTAATTAATTGTCAAACCGATAAATTCTGCTCTGACTGAACAAGTTAGACCTAATTATGAGATCATAAGAGTGGTTCAGGTGAAGAAATTTACAGTGCAGGAGGCCACTCGGCCCATTGAGTCTGCACAGGCTCTCATCCAATCTGACCTGCTTAATCTACTATCATCCCATTGCAGGATCAATTTATCTTTTAAGTTATCCATTCATTCCCACTGGCCTACCCTCTCCCCATACTTCTTCAAGCCTTTATCTATTATATATCTGTCTAAGTCACTCTTGAAATCCACAATGCACTCTGCCTCTACCACCTTACTTGTCAAGGCAAACCACATCCCAACAACTCTCTGAGTGAAAAGATTTCTTCTAAACTCACCTTTCATTCTTCTTGTGACTATCTTATATCTATGTCCTCTAGTCACTGAATCCCCCGCCTGACTCCTTCTGCGCTGAAAGTGTCCGTTTCTAACCCAAAGAAAGGGTAAACCGGCCGATCCTACCATCTTCCCATTGCAGGATCATTTTATCTTTTACCTGCTAGAATGCAGACTGTGCAGTGAAGAAGAATTACCAATCACAAAGAAAATCTCTGTCTTGGGGATTTTTATATTGGATAAAGGAAGTCTCTGTGACAGCTTCTCAATTAGTCAGAGACTCTCTGTGGTTAAAATAATAATAATAATAATCCTTGCATTTGATATAGCGCTTTTCATGTCAGGAGGACATCCCAAAGCGCTTCACAGAACACACTGTAAAGTGAATTGACTGTATATTTTTTGTGGGCGAACACGGCAGCCAATTGCGCACAGCAATGTCCCACAAACAGTCGTAGATTGAAAATGACCAATTTATTATTGTTTTTGGTTTTTGGAGGGATTATTATTAGGCTCTGTGTGGAGTAAGGAAACTTGCCCAAGGTTTCGCCCTCTGCCTGGAATTGAACTCAGGTCTCTCGCTTGCAAGGCGAGTGCTCTAACCACTGAGCTACAGGACTCCACGAATGATGAAAAGCAGAGTTTGGGCTCTGAGCTGAACTTGCATATTCATAACGTTTTATGCATTGATATATCTTGAAGCTCCTTACAATAATTAAGTGACTTTTTTGGAGGCAATCTTGCCAGTCATTTTGCAAATGACAAGATCTCACAACCATGAAATGATAGACCAATTTTATGGAGGATTGTTGGCCAGGACACAGTAAAAAGCTTTCAGAGTTGTATCATGAGATTTTTAGTGTCCACCTGCAACAGAATAGATCTTGGTTTAAATATCTGATCCAATGTATGGCACATCCAACAATACAGAGCTCCCCTACTACTGTGCTGCAGAATCAGCCTGAGCTGAAATAACAAAGTGGGGCTTGAACGCATAATCTTCTGCCTGACATTAGGACTCCAGGAGCAAGAGAGCCGCTGAATGAGCTAGGCTGACAACAATAAATGCTAACTCTGATCCAGAATCTAGACAACTGACACATTTAACTTATAAATCAATTATCAAGAATTGTTAATGAATGGTCAAGAGTCCTGGGAGGAACACTTGATGTTAAGGTAATTTAAGTGTGAGAAGACATTTCTCCAGTCACTTTGATGAGATGCATGATCAGCTCTGCTGCTGCAGAGCACGAGGAGATTTGCATCCTAAGTCTCTTACTTAAGAAGCCCACACTGTAGGTAAAATAAATCTATATTTGATTTCAAGATTATTGTGATTCATATATAAATAGCTATTACAATAGTAAAGTTGTTAATCTTTTCTCTTTTTTCAAAAGTTATTATAAGCATCTTGGAGCATTTCCTCATATTTTTTAAGTGGAAGAATCTGCATTCATCCATGTCCTGATGCCACTGCTTACATAGTTGCATTGATTGATAAGGTTCGGAAACAGACCATTTAGTCCAACTAGTCCGTGCTCCTGTTTATACTTCAAGTGCACTCGCATAGAGCACTCGCCTCCCAAGCAAGAAACCTGGGTTCGATCTCCGGCAGGGCGAATCCTTGGGCAAGTTTCCTTACTCCACACACCTGATAATAATCCCTTAAGAAAAAAATAATAATAATTTGGTCACTCAATCCACGGCTGTTTGTGGGACACTGCTGTGCGCAATTGGCTGCCACGTTTCGCCCACAAATATACAGTCAATTCACTTTACAATATATCCTATGAAGAGTTTTGAGACATCTCAAAGACGTGTAAAGCGCTATATCAAATGCAAGGATTATTATTATATTTTGTGAGCCGCACCCAATCTCATTTCCCTCTCCAATACCCCTCTATAGGAGACAGGAATAAGGTATCCCTTCTCTCTCATTCATGTGTCTATTCCTAAACTTTGCACTTTTCAGATAAAAGTGCAAAGTCTACAAGGAAAGCTAAATTAGAAAATGGAAAACCATTAAACCATTAAAGTTCTCACCCAAGCACACCTCCCCCCACCACCAACCCCCATCCCTCCCATATCTTCCCTTGTTGCCTGATATCAGCAGGGTCAGTAGTTGGAGCACTGTAATTGCCAGTACCCTTGGCAAAGGCAAATGAAATCCCACTCCTGAACCCCATCTAGAGAATGCGTGGATGTGGACATTGGATGAGGACAGGATTCAGCTTGGCTGTGAGTCCCTGGATGGTTGAAATGGTGTTTTTTTGCACTCAATATAGTCTAGGCTCACACATGAAAGATGTTTTTTGGGTGAGGTACCGGGGGGGGAGGAATGACGTTACCTGTGAAACTGTAACCCCATTTTTAGAAGGCAAGTAGGAGGTGAAGAATAAGATAAACTTGACACAAAAAAATCTCCTGCTAAAACCCAACATAGTGTAGTCCAGTGGAGTTTCCAAATTCAAGCTATCCTACATTTCAAAAGAAAAATTTAGTTCCCAAATTCCCCAATGGGTGACAAGCATCCATTACTTGACTGGTTATGTACATAAACATTAAACTGCTGAGAAAAATACTAGGATTCTTACTTTATGGTTTTCATTAACTTTCAAACCAATTCAATTACAATTCTTTATTCCTAGGCACTTCCGACAGGTTAATTTACTGCAAGCACTGCACTAAATAAAACTTGTCAACACACCTAAAGCCGGAAAGCAGGCTTTAATCACAGAACCGTTGAATGCAGAAATGCATTGTTCTTGCCAATAATACTGGCCCTGTGCTTTTAACATTACTTTTCCCTGAAGGTGCAATGCAATTGAAGTTCAGCCTCAAGCTCTGGGCACAATTTATAATAATAATCCTTGCATTTGATATAGCGCCTTATCACGTGGTTGAGACGTCTCAAAGCGCTTTCACAAAATATATTGTAAAGTGGATTGGCTGTGTATTTATGGGCAAAACGAGACAGTCAATTGCGCACAGCAGTGTCCAACAAACAGTTTTGGGTTGAGTGACCATTCAGTCGCAGAGGATTGATGGAATCAGTGCAATCGTACCCCGTTTTCAGAAGACATGGAAGAGGTGAAGAATAAGAGAAATTTAAGAGATCTGCTAAAACCCAACATGGAGTAATCCAGTGGAGTTTCCAAATCAGGCTATTCCTTATTCCAGGAAATGACAAGCAGCAGGAAAGCTTGCCAGACACAGATATCAATGGCAAGCTATGTGGTTTTAGCTGGTTAGACTCCAGCAGTACCCCAACACACACACTGGGGCTGGCTCTTACCAACCTGCGCCTAATACTTTCTGGAATTAGGTAAGCAAGATGCATTCCTCAAGGGAGACAGAGAGCCCATTCTATTCCAACAATTTATGTCTGGGATTTCCACGTGTAGGTGGGATGCCTGGAATTCTCAGTTTGGATACTCTAAAGGGTGGTGATGGGTTTCCCTATATGTCAAGACACCCTAAAGAAAAGCAACAGATCCAACTCCCCAATGGTTCCAACTCCCCAATGCCTCTAATTCCCCCATGAGCTCCCGGCTTACCTTCCAGCAGCTCGTCCAGGCTGGTAATCCTTTTGGCGCCATCGATGGTGTGGATGATCCTGACCCCTTGGGGCAGGCTGACATTATCCGACAGGGATTTGGTCAGCTCCACCAGCAGAGCGTCGAACGACCTGAACCTGTCCTGGGAGACGGCGAACACCAGCCCCTTGAAGTAGCGGTCCCCGTTCCTGTAGAAGCGCACTTTCTTGGCTTTCTTCTCCTGGCTGAGCGCCTGCAAGGTGCGGGTGCGGTAGAAGCTGCAGTGAGCACTGTGTGCGGGGCTGGGGATGCCATTGCCTCTGTAGCTTGACCCTCCTCCTCCTCCACCACCACCACCTCCTCCTCCTCCTCCACCTCCACCAGCGCCTCCTCCACCCCGGGAAGCGCGGTGACTCCGGCTTCTCTCCTCAAAGTGCTCCAGCTCAATGCTGCGGTCGTGGGACATTGGCAATGATTGGCAATGTCGCGGAGCAGGCGGGCAAATATATATATATATAGATATAGATATATATAATAATAAGCCCAGTGACTTTGCAGGGAGAGATTCAGAGAAATAATTCAAATAAATCAAAATAAAACTAATAATAATAATAATAATAAACGCCCGCTGTTCTGCAGGGAGAGATTCGAGCAATAAATAAAAACAAAGCAAGCAACAACAACAACAAAAAATCAAATAAAACCAACCCCCGGATATTCTGCAGGAACGGGGAGGGAGGGAGAGAGAGAGAGAGAGAGACAGAGAGAGAGAGAGAGACTCCAAAAATAAATGTTGCAAAATAAAAAGAATATATATTTTTCCTTCTCCTTTAGAAAAAAAAACGCCACTCTTATGATCTTTTTGTTGTTTAAGCTGCAGGAAAATGCAGAAGCATCTCCTGGTTTTGCAACCTCAGGGGTATTTTTTTTTGTGCAGAGAGAGAGAGAGAGAGAGAAAGAGAAAAAAAAAAGCTCTGCACCTTCCTTTCCTTCCTTCTCGTCCCCTCAAATCACCCCACACAAGGTCACTGTGGCGATCCCATCACAAACCCCAGGAGATAAACTGCAAACGTCTATATATTTTTTTGGGGGGGAATAAGGACAGCAACGAACGATGGACGGATGGATGGGTGGATGGGGATGGGGATGGATGAGATGAGGATGGATTGGACTGGACCAGCAGCTTGTCCTGATCTCTCTCCAAGGGCGAGGTGTCTCTCTCTTTCTCTCTCTCTCTCTCTGTCTGTCTGTTTTTTTTGCTCCAGATGTCGGGATACAGGAGGAGGAAGGAGGAGAGAAGGTGGAGGAGGTGAGGCAGTGTGTGGGGAGATAGGTGTGTGGGTGGGTGAGTGGGATGGAGGGAGGGAGGGAGGGGGGGGGGGTGGGGGTGGGGGGGGAAGTAGCCTTTCCCCACGTCCTACATCGCTGCTGATGGGGCAGACAGGGAACTGAGGGTTGATTCCGCTGCCTGCAACAACAACAACAACAACAACAACAAAATACCAGCCCAAGCTCCGACCCCTCTTTGGTGTGGATGATTTAAAACAAGAGAGACAGAAAAGGAGAGAGAGAGAAAGAGAGAGAAAGAGAGAGAGAGAGAGAGAGATGCCTGTGAAATTGGTCTGGAAATCAAACTGCAATAGGAGGCGGGGATGGAGGAGGAGGTGATGGAGGAGGAGGTGATGGAGGAGGAGGTGATGGAGGAGGAGGTGATGGTGGAGGATGCTGAGCTGTTCTGATGTGGTCCACAATGCTGGTTGGAGCCCAGAGAGAGAGAGAGAGAGAGGGAGAGAGAGAGAATGAGAAAGAGAAAGAGAGAGAGAGAGAATGAGAGAAAGAAAGAGCAAATCGATCTGATCCCAGCTTCAAAGTGACAGACAGACACACACACACACACACCACACACACAGCAGAGCAATGCACTGACTGCAGTGTAGCTCAGTGATTGATTGACCTCTTCTTCTTTTTCTTCTTCTTCTTCTTCTTCTTCTTCTTCTTCTTCTGCTTCTGCTTCTTCTCCTTCTCTGTGTTTTTTTTGGTTAACAAAAAAGAGGAGGAGATGAGAAGGGGTTGGTGGGGGGGAGGGGGGGGTTAAGAGAATCCTGACAGCCTCCTGTCGTTCATTTGCAGAAGGGAAAAGAAGAGATCAGACGTCTGTGTCTGTGTGACAGTCAGTGTGTGTGGCTGTTGCTGGTGTCTCCCCAACCACTCGCCCACAGCAGCAGCAGCAGCAGCAGCAGAGCCCAGGGCTGAGCCGCAGTGTGGGGAGGGTACCCTCTGCACAGCCCCCACCCCCCCAGACTGGCCTTCCTTCCTCAGGGTCTCAGAGTCTCTCACAAGCCTCCTGGTGGCTCAAATGACTGCATGGCAGCCTCACACAAGCTGCCACAGCACGCAATTCCCCTGACGACGTTGCATTTGTTTTTATGTAAGGGTTTATCCTGTGAAATTGAGGGCACTCAACAGTACGATCATGTCGTGATGCACACGAATTTAAGCCTATGATTTGGGGCAACCTTCAATCTATCTTGGATTCACCACAATAAACCACTACTACTGCAATAATAGTAATAATAATGATAGTAATCCTTGCATTTGATACAGCGCCTTATCACGTCTTCGAGACGTTTCAAAGCGCTTCACAGAATATATTATAAGGTGAATTCACTGTATATTTTGTGGGCAAAATCATCCCCACAAAACCCACATACTATGATTGCAATCTTCAGACATTGGAGGAATTTAAATGCAACCAGTCAGCATCTGGAAGCAGGCTGCAAAAGAGAAAAGTAATTTCTCTTTGAAATGAAGATTGCATTAATAGTAATGTGTGTTCTACAGTTCCTCATTATAAGGAATTAAAGTGATAAAGGAATGGATCCTTCATGTGCTAGATAGTGTTAATATTCGACAACATAACATTTTGTCAGTAAATTGTACTATCAACAGGAATGAACATTTTTTTAAATGTAAAATTAGCATTTTGTTAATGGCTATGGGGTGAAAATTTGTAAAATGATATTATGATATAATTCCAATTATATGATACATTAATATGTAAGTATGGTTAAGGCAGAGCCACATATTAAAGTAGGACCACACAGAAACAGAGAAGAGAAGGCCATTCATCCCATCAAGTTAACTGGATCATGTTAAAACTTTTAATCCAATTTGGAAAACCTTACCCCCTATGACCATTTCTTCCCAAGTACCTTCACCCAGAAAGTAATTAACGACTAGAACAGAGTGCCAGGAAGGGCGGTTCGGGCCAGGACATTGTACTAATTTAAGAAACAGCTTAATGCTGTAATGAGAGGATCGATATTCTGGAAAGAATAATATCAATAATAATAATAATAATCCTTGCATTTGATATAGCGCCTTATCACATCTTCAAGATATCCCAAAGGGCTTCATAGAATAGTGAATTGACTATATATTTTGTGGACGAAACGATCAATAAGATCAAATGGGTAAAATAGCCTTTTTTATCCAAACTAATCTTGTGATCTACATATAGTACAGTATATACCTCCCTTATTAATGGGATGGATACCACAATAAACTATTCAATGGGCATATGTCAGGTTGAAAGATCACAATGACCTTACTTTAAAGCAAACATCAAATGGAAGAATAAAAGGCAAGGGACACAGAAGGATGGATTGTATCTCAAAAACAGGAGTAAATTCATCCAAAACAGCTGGTTTGTAAACTGCTTAAAAGTTAAATTAAGTTATATTCACATCATTCCTTTCATCATTAAATCATGAATGGCAAGAATAAATAATTTTACAGAGAAACAATTTGATGTACAAAATATCACCAGCCAAACATTACCTCAACAATCTCTGAAATATTTACATAATGTTTCTATTTTCAGATTACACAATGTTAACTGCCTTTTGAAATGTCAAGAGGAACTTTCAGCTCTTCAAATTGTTTCTTTAAGAGTAGTATAGACACTTCAGTGCATGAGGCTTGTTACATTGTCGGAGATGTTGTCCGTTGTATGTATTCCTGTATGTCTTTACAGGTGGATTTAAAAGATAACAGGGCACTACTTAAAAAGGGAAGGTAATTTCTCTCAGTGTCCTGGCCAGATATCCCCCAGATATAAAATAACAACATTCACTTCATGGCTGTTGGTAGGACATTGCTGTGTGCAAATTAGCTGCCTACAAGCATGGCTCAGTTTGTAACATCTCATCTCTGGTCAGAAGGTTGTAGGTTCAAGCCCTATATCAGGACCTGGAATTTATATAGTCTATTCTGGCACTTCATTCCAGTACTAGGGGTTTGCTGCATTTTCGGATATGCCGTCCTTCATATGTGATGTTAAACCAAGATTCCTTCTGCATGTCAAGGTGGATTTAAGGTCCCATGGCACTAATTGAAAAGGGAAGGAAGTTTGTCTTGGCATCTTGGCCAACAATCTCCCAAATAAAATTGGTCATTCACTCCATGACTGTTGCGGGAAATTGCTGTGTGCACGTTGGCTGCTGCATTTGCACACAAAATACACAGTCTTGACACTTTACAGTATATCCTGTGAAGCTCTTTAAGACGTCTCAACAATTTAATAAGGCACTACCTCAAATGCAAGGATTATCATACAAATATACAAACACTGTACTTTACACAAAAAATCTCTGTGAAGCTCTTTGAGCCATTTTGACGTGATATGGCACTATATCAAATGTAAGGATTCTTATTAATAATAATAATCCTTACATTTGATATGCTACCATATCAATTGAAATGCACTTAGTCTGCCATTAAGGTGATCCTCAGCTGACTCAGTGCAGTTCTGAATGTCAACACAGCAGGATAGTAAGGAAGAGGACTGCTGGATTTACACATGTGACTAGACACAACCTGCTGTGTGAATCACGCATGTAATGGTGTAAAACATTTTTTAATAAGCTCATTTCTTATGCATGCAATTGAATCCACGCTTCACAGCCTCCAGAAATTTATATATGAATCATGAGTCAAGGGCTTGTCACCTGTAAGCCCTGGGACAGACAAGGGAAGCTGAAGAACTTTACCTATGATTGTGAGCAGAATTGTCCTTTTTATGTGTGTTGTTTCTGTTGAAGATCAATCCTTACAACCACCTCTCTTGGCCACCTGTTCCAGTCGCCCTGTTTTTCGGCCTTCCCAATTCCTCCCTCCACAGGCTTCGATAATCCAGAACTCTGCAGCCCGTGCCCTCTCCCGCATCAAACTCCGTGACCCTATCTCCCCCATTCTTGCCCGACTCCATTAGCTCCCTATTCTTCTGAGGATCCAGTTCAAGATCGTGGTCCCCACCTACAAAGCTCTCCATGGCCTCGCCGCACCCTTCCTCTGCGATCTCCTAATCCCTTACCAGCCCTCCCGCTCCCTCCACTCAGCCGGCTCTGGCCTGCTCCATGTTCCCCGACCCACCCGCCCCACCATTGGTGGAAGAGCCTTCAGCCA